TTGACTTGGATAGTTTTCCTGCGAAGTGAATCCATTACCTACAAAACAGGAACAAAGATGAAGATCCAAAATCCTTGAACTGGTTAGTGGATGCATATGATGCTTCATGATGTTCATGATGTTATGCACAAGTATATATGTACACACAAATCACACAAGTTCCTAGTTTTAGGCTTGCATGGGGTTTCATAGGTAAGTACCCTCTTAAAGTTTAGTTGGCTCAACCTGTCCTAGAAATAGTAATCGGGTTCTAAGGAGCTCAATATCACTGGATTGTTTTCTGTGTTCATTGTTTCAGTTTAGCCACTTTACTGGAGACCAAAATATTCCAAGAAAACAACCCTCAATGAGTGTAGTATCAAGTATCTACCAACTTCGGACTGCATCAAAGCCGGTCATCTCACTACATCCTAAAAGGCCAAGTTGGTCAAGTAAAGGTTCTAAAAGTCCCTTAGTGCTTTATGACATCACTCAGCGGCCCCGTAATCTCTTTGATTGACTAAAAGGCTACCGGTACTCATAAATATGTCGCACTAATATAACTATTGCTTAGACCATGTCGGTATACCCCACACAATTTCCACAATGTATTACTATTTACCTATGAATGTTTCCCAAATCCGGGTAGAGGATTCAAACCCAAACAATAGAACCAAAGTGTAAAGCAAACAATTCAAGCAAGATAAGCATGTAAAGGTGATCTAAAACCCTAAGGTAACGCCACTTTTATATTTTCTCCCCAGCAGAGTCGCCAGTTCTGTGATGCGGTGGGAGAACTGACTTGAGGTTTTACGTTTGTGTTCGCAAATGTTTCGGTTTAGCAAGAGTCGCCACCGACTTTTATTTTATTCAAAAGGAAAGGTAAAAAAGCACAGGAAAGACCTTTGTGATTGTTTTTGGGTTCGGGGGGTAGATTATGAAAAGGGAAGGTGCTAGCACCCTTTTCATCCATGGTTTTCAATGGGCTCTTAGTTATTTGTTTTATATCACTTACTTTTCTTTTTCAATTGTTTGAAATGGTGCTTTGTGTGGTTTTTGAAAGTATTTTGAAAAGAGGCCTTTGTTTAGGAAATCTTTGTAATGATTCTTGTTTGTAAGAATGTATACAAGGATGTTTGTCTTTGAAAAATGTTTCAATGTTTGCAAGTTTGTTTGGAAATGTTTTAAAATTGTTGTGTGTTTTTGAAAATAGCAAGGATGGTTTGAAAGAGATCAAGTAACTAGGAGTTATCTACTCTACTCAAAAGTCTTTCCTAAACATTTTTAACCCTTTGACATTGTAGTTTTACCATTGCATTGGTAAACAACCCTATCTTTGGATGTTAAACGGGACGGGCGTGGGTCATCGTATGACCATGATAGCAATGGTGCCAAGTATCTTAGCAAGTTTTAGGGACTAAGATCATTTGTTTTTTGATAACATTTTGATAGCGTCATCGAGGGACTATGATCTTTTTGTTTTGTTTGACTTTGTTTTGCCAAGATACCTAGCATGCATACCATGGCCATTTTAAGGCAACAAAGTGGATGAAACCCTAGGGGTGCTTGTGTGAGATGTGTTGTCATTTTTCATGCATTTTTGTCTTGTATTAAGTCATGCTATTTGTTTTGATTTTTGGTCTTTGCATACAAAACCCTAGTTTACTATCATGGTATATGAAAGCAATAAAATGCATAAAGTAAATCTAGACTATTATAACAATATTATGGGAAGGGGGATACAAGTTTTGAATAGGGGGATATTGCTCAAAATAAAACCCTAAAACTATTACAACCAAATTGAATTTATTGTACAAATAAATAAATAAACAATATTTAAATATGCAATAAAATGTAAATATGCAAAAAATATTTTTGTATTTAATTTTATGTATGTAAAAATAAGTTTATTTAAGTATTAAAAATAAGAAAATAAAATGGTTATTTTTGAAAGGGTGAAAACCCTAATTTTTTTGTTTAAATAGAAAATATTATATATTATTTATTTGTTTCATTTATGTACAAGAAAAAGTAATAATAATATATACAAAATATTAAAAAATTGAAATATGTATGAAAATATTATTTTAAGTGTATAAATAATAAAAATAAAAATATATAATATTTTTATATTATTTACAAGTTTTATTTAAGAAAATAAAGTATATTATTATTAATAAACTATTTTTATGCCAAAAAAATAATAAAATAAAAATGCAAAAATTAAGAAAATATTTTTATGATTTTATAATGTTCAGAAAAAATAATAAAAGTCAAAAATATAAAAATATCAAGAAAATATGAAAAATATCAAAAAATACAAAGGGGGTTGGTTGCAAATAGAAACAGGGGGGGGGGGGTATGAAAAGAAAAACAGAAGGCCCAATCCCAAGCTCAACTTAGTCCCCGACCTTCGTCTTTGTGCGTGCGCCCTGGTTCAGTTCAAATCCTGTTCTCTCTATTGCTTGCATGAAATCAAAAACTCACAACATGAAACTCATAGCATTTTTAGTCACGATTCCAACCATTTCTATTTTGTGACCTAACTCTCAAAGGACAGAGAGAATTTTAATGGCCCTAAATTTTGACCTAGTTTTTTCAGCAACTTCAACAATCAAATACTCCTAGCTCAGTTAATATAAATACAAACTATGCATATGTACAGCTCAAGCAACTTAAAGACTACATTTTTGCTTCACAAACCTAAGCTTAATGATGCCTAAATAGAGAGATAGAAACTTGACAAATACCTTGTTCAGTTGAGTTTGAATATTGTAATGTAGGGACTTTGAGTGAGGCCTGAAGGTCGTATGAGCTTGCTTGAAGTTTCCTCAACCTCTCCCAATGCTCAGCTTGCCTTGAAGTTGCCTGAAACTCCTTGTAGAACTCAACCTGAAAACCTTCAAAATGAAAATGGTGAAGTGTGAAAATGAGCCCACAGTTGCAAGACAAGGGCCTGGATAGTTCAGGTGTGTTGTATGGAATGTGTTTGAAGTGATTCCAAGAAAAACGGACGAGGCAAAATGGATTTGGCCAAGGTTCTGCAGAAGTTGCCCTGTTTGGGCAGAAAATGGTGATTTCTGTGTTTTTGGGTGTTTGAGAGGTTGGGCAATCGTGTTTAGGCTTGCAACAAAGTTCTGAGATTGTGTGAAATGATGCTTAGGCTTGCTCTTATCAGATATCCAAGTTATATTGACTTTTGCCAAATTTCTTGCTTTTGAAGAAAAGTAGGAAGTGACAAAGGCAAAGGCCTGTACAGGCTAGCTCAAGGTATGCATAGGGTTGGTGAACTTTTTTTGATGTTTATGGATCTTGTTTGCAACAAGAGATCAGGTCCATGGCTCAAGATAAACAAAGTTTGTAAAATCTAGCTTTATCAAAGTAGCATTATAACCTTTTTGCCATAAATGGAATAAATCAATGTACAATGCTCCATAGCTCAGAACAAACCCATTGTCCAATGTGTTTGCATTCAATTTTGGAGTGTAGAAGGGATTAGAACCTGTAAAACCAAGTACAAGCATGCTTAGTACATATTTGCAACTTGAACCAATGTGAAAAATGCCTTGGACAAAAGTGATAAAATGCCATTTTCATTTCTTTGATTCTCCCTAACCATAAATGATTTTGGAGAGTTCTTGGAAATTTTGGAAATCTTGTAACATTCTCTACAATCCATCTTTGAAATTCATTTTGATATTTGTAGCGGTGAAAATCGGAGATCAAGCTATTAATTAACTTGACTCGCAAAAGCAAGAGTCGCCACCGCGCTTTATTATTTCCAAGGGAAAAGGGAAAAGAGCGAAATAAAACCCTAAAATATGCAATGTAAAATAATACTTAAAAGTAATAAAAATACAACGCGTTTTTGAAAGAGATCGAGAGTTCGGGGGTTGGTTATACAGTGGGAAGGTATTAGCACCCAATGCATCTGCGGTACTCCGCAGGAACCTTTTGAAATATCTGTTTTTTGGTTTAAAATTGTTTGTTTGAAAAAAATGGTTCGTTTGGCTAAAAGATGGGTATGGACGAGATTTTTGAAGATACGACGACCTAGTGTCGAAGTTTTGGCTTAAAAGGAGTGAGTTTGAAAATGGAGTCTTTTGGGAAAATTGTCTTAAGTTTGGAAAAATAGTAAGCAAGCAAAACATGAATGAGGCTATTCCCACGATTGTAGAAGATGTATTTGATGACGTGAAGTCAACTGAGTTGAAACATTTCCCTTGGAATAGAAGCAAACAAATCAGAAAAAATAAGACGAACATCACAATATAAGTAATCAAGAATTCGCAAGAAGATAAATTTAAACGAACTGATTAAGAAAAAGCAATGAAATATTTAATTCTAAAGGACTAAGACGATTAAAAAAAAGCAAACGAGAAGGTAACTAGTTATCTAAAGAGGATATGTAAATTACTAAGTTAATTCTAAACAAAAAATAAGATTATGAAATTTCTGAATTACACCTAAATTGCGTTAAAGCTCTACGATTTATTAAAATTTTAAAATTACTAAATTTAATCTAAGTTGAATTAATTCTAAAGTTACTAAACCGTGTCTAATATAAACTAAGTTGATTTCAAAGTTACTAAATTAAAATTCTTGAATTATTAAATTGAATCTAAACTAAATCAAAGTTTTAACTAAATTCCATATAAAATTACTAATTAAAATCTAAACCAAATTAACAATAAAATGGGGTGTGTAACACAAATTTGAGGGGCTTATGATATGAAAACCGGATGGGCTCAAAAGATTGGGATAAGGCCCAAGGCATAAGTAATAAACATAAATAAACAAAAAACTGAAACAAACATGCAAGGTTAGAACCGGGCCGAACCGGGTCAGGCCCAGACCCGTTGCCCCGCAATACTCGAATTGGGTTAGAAAAAGAAAAGAAAGACCTAAAAGGAAAAGTGGAAAACGGCGCTGCATGATGTGTTGGGAAGGGAACAGAAAATCATCGATGCCGATAACCTCTTATCTCCATATCTCTATCACTTTCTTCTTCAGTTATTTCGATGCAAAGAGGTCACCTTCTCTTACCTTCTAAAGCTGCCGATCTCGTTCCTCCTCTCGCGATTCCTTCGATCTCCTCAACCTTGCGCCGCCAGTAATCATCAACCTGGTAAAACTGCAGAATAGCAACGAAGGAAAAGGGAATAGTTGTGAAGACAAGGACATACCTAGGACAAGCTTCGCCGGAATTTGTATTGGCCCCGCCGTGAGGTAAGTTTCTTTGTCATCTTCTTCGCACTTTCTTGATACCAATGCATAGCTTGGAGCCCCCTGAGTCGTTCCCCTATGATGGTGAAGCGGGATTCATGGCCAGCGACATTTGATTTCGATATTCGTCAAACCTAGTTTTTTGCAATTCATTAGATGTAGGAATTCTGAGGTGAAATGGGTTAACAATGGAGTAAAGGAGAGGATAGAAGGTAGTGAGTAGCTAGCGGATGGACGGTGCTGTGAACCGACGCCATTGTAGCGAGTTGGTGAGTTCTGAGTTCTGACTTCCCGAGTCACTGAGTTTCATCTTCTCCTTGCTCATTTGGGACATGGTGTTGAGGGTTGAAATTGGTGTGGATGTGATGTGAGGTCAGAACTGTGTGGGGATTTTTAGAAGGTTGAAGAAGGTTGCTAGGCGGAGGTGTTCGGTGATGTTGCTGAAGTTTGATAGTAGTGAGGAAGGTTGATGGATTGGAGAGTTGATGATTTTGAGTATATGAAAATCCAAAAGAAGAAAGAAAGATAAGTGAGATTGATAGTGCTACTGAGCAATTCATTTTATGAATCCTTTGGCAGCTGAGATTGACGGTGGTACTTGGCATAGACTCCTTTCATAAGAATCTCACTAATTGGGTACTTGAACTGTTTGACTCTAGTAGCTGATGCGGAGCAGAAGATAGAGGAGATTGGAAAATGTTAAAAAAATCAACTCAAGTGTGAAGTGAGTAGAACTTAGGAAGAGATGGCGTGGTGAGGTAGAAGGTTGAGGGGGTAGATGGGATACTGTTCTCTTTTTGTGTTTGTATTTTTTTGTTCTTACAGCAGGTCATGTTCTGAAGTTTTGTTCTAAACTTGGAGCCAAGTTATTAGAAATTTCCACCGGTTTTTTACTTTTGTTTTCCCCCCTTCAGAATGAAAATTTTTTGGAGGGAAAATGTGTGTCTTGGACAAAACATGATATGCTGGCTTTTCCTTTTTTTTGATGCAGGATTTGCATTTCTATTTTTGTGAAAGTTCTAGACTGTTTTTGGACAGGTTTGACAGGAACTTTTCGGCATTATTATGCAGTTTTTTTTACAGCATTGCAGCATGGATGATGCAGAGTTTGGAGCAGCATACAGTATGGATGGTTTTGAAGCAAGGTTTGGACTGTTTTGAAGTGTTTGTAGCAGCTGATTTATGGACAACATTGGTACAAGTTATGGAGCAATTTTGATGCATCATGAAGCAAGGAAACCGGGCTTGAAAATAATAGCATAGGCTTAGACTTGGTATTTTGAAGATTGATGAAGGATAGTTTAAAATAGGCTTCAGGATTTGCAATGTTTTTCATGTGATTTTGTGGCTATAATATTTGTAATGAAATTTGAAATTTGTAACAAGTCTTGAATTTGGATGTAACTTTAAATATTTCATTTGGCGTTTGGAATGGGTTTGTCTTGAGATTTTTTGAAATTGCAAACTTGAGATATGCCTAAAAATTAGCATGATGCATTCTCCACTTTTGAACTAGACATGACAAATATCCTTGAATCAATGATCTTGAAATTTTCTTTAAAGTTTGTATCAAATTCTTGGATTGAATAAGGACTTTTCCTTAGAAATAGTCCTTGTAGAATTGATGGACTTTTGTGAACTTATCTTGAAGAATATTTGCAAACTTGTCATTAGTACTTGAGTGAACAAATAGTATCTTAAGAGCCTTGGTAAAAAAACATCATAATTTGACAATCGCTTATGCTCAAATGCAAGTGACTTGAAACAAACGCCAGACAATTTAAAGAATCCTTAAACCCAACATCATGTGTCATGAACAAACTCATCATAAAATTCAATATCTTTAGAGAATAATTATGGCATGAATTGTGGCTTGGAGATTAAGAATATTCTAGGTTATGAGAATGACCTATAATGTTTCAATAAATTCCAATAGCCTTCAAAGCATAATATGACAACATGCAAAAAGAACTGTCTCAAAATATTGGAAATTTATGATCCTTTGAACTTGATCTTGAAAAGGTTGGCTTTTTTTTTGGTCGAAGTGCTTTAAATCCTCTCACATAGCCTGATCTTTCTTCGCATTCCAAAGCATCTTGATACACATGTAAACCAGGGATGATGAAATCTTGATTGTGCTCTAAGGAAGTTGTGGAGAAGTTTGAGAGGTTAAAATCGGCCATATTTCGTGCCCTTAATTTCTTTGAATAAAAATGCCAATGAAGATGGGATCTTAGGTCAAAAATTGGGGTACAACAATATTCCTCTTGGAACTAGGTTAAAAATGTCCATGAAGTTAGGTCAAAAATCTGCCTAAACTAGGACAAAATTTCACTAAGTTAAAAAGTTTTTGGACCCCTATTCACAAAATCATAACTTGAGATCCAAGCATCTTTTGGGAAAACTTTTTGAATAAAAGTTGTAGATTTCATGGAGGACTACAACTTTAATGTTAGAAGTTTTGTTTGAATCCAATTGCATCATGGTGAAAAAGTTGGGAAATATTGGGAAAAAATAAGAAATTTTCATAACTTAGAAAAATTCTAAGTTATGAAATTTTTCAAACTTAAACCCTAATTTCCAAATTTAAGTTTCTCGGTGGAAAAGTTTCATGTTTTTACACATCTTGATGAAATATGAACCTTTGCACTTGATTTTGACCAAAAAGTCAAAGTTTGACTTTTCAATGTACAGTTGACTTTTAATCAGTTGACTGGAAAGATGACTTTTGATCAGTTGACCTTTGCATTTGAGATCTTTTGAACCTTGTGAATAGGTCAAGATGAGGCCATTTAGTCCTTGAGATCATGCTTTAACCCAATTTGCCATTGGCTAGATTAAAAACCAGAAATTGCCCTTTCTCAGTCAAAACCCTAATTTTGACCATTTTGCCCTTTTGATGATCTGATCAAATTTCTTGAGGAGTTGTGATCCAAACTTGATAAAATGGTTCATATGAGTCTATAATGTTGTTGTGGATAAAAAATTATGAGGTTTGACTATAAATTGGCTATGGTTGACTTTTTCCCCAATACAGTTGATTTTTAGGTCAATTGTCCCATTGACTGGGCAAAAAAGTGATCCAAGGCTTGAAACTTGGTATGAGCAATCTTAGGGGTCCAACATGAAGTATGAAAGTCACATGAGGCATTGATGGTCCAAAAATCCTTGTGCAAACTCAAACCCTAATTTCAGGCTATCAATGCAAGGAAATGTCTTGAGCTGAGCAAATCCTAATCTGGTCTGGAGTCCAAAATGTCTTGTGAGGAGAATCTTGATAAAATGAGAGGGAAAATTTTGGGGTAAAACAACTATGTTGAGGTTTTTGCTTGGTCATACGAAGATATGTCAGGTTTGGATACTGACATAATGGTTCATCATCTACCAACAAAAGAATATTGCCCTCCGGTCAAACAAAAAGTGTGTCGTATACGGCCAGACATGTCTGAAAAGATAAAAGCTAAGGTAATGAAGAAATTCGATGCAGGTTTCTTGGCCGTCACATCATATCCTCAATGGGTTGCAAATGTGGTCCCAGTGCCGAAGAAAGAAGGGAAGGTCCGTATGTGCATAATAGACTATAGGTATTTGAATAGGGCAAGCCCCAAAGATGATTTCCCTCTACCATATATTGATGTCCCGGTGGACAACACGACTCAACACAAAGTATTCTCCTTCATGGGTGGTTTCTCTGGCTATAATAAAATCAAGATGGCTCCCGAGGACATGGAAAAACTACCTTTGTTACACAATGGGGCGCCTTTTGTTACAAAGTCATGTCGTTCTGATTAAAGAATGCAGAGGCAACCTATCAACGAGCTATGGTGGCTCTATTTCATGACATGACCCATCATGAGATAAAGGTCTATATGGATAATATGATTTCCAGGTCGCAGAATGAGGAAGATCATCTCGATCACTTACACAAGCTGTTTGAAAGATTGAAGAAGTAAAAGTTAAGGCTGAATCCTAACAAGTGCACCTTCAGGGTAAGATCTGGAAAAGTCTTAGGTTTTTTCGTCAGTGGCAAAGGTATTGAAGTGGATCCTGTGAAGGTCAAAGATATTCAAGAAATGCCAGCTCCCCGTTCTGAGAAGGAGGTCAGAGGCTTCTTAGGTCGACTTAATTACATTTCTCGATTCATATCTCATCTAACTATTACTTGTGAACCCATCTTCAAACTCTTGTAGAAAGATCAAGTAGTCAAATGGATCGACGGTTTCCAAGATTCCTTCGATAAGATTAAAGAATATTTGCAAGAGCCTCACATCCTTATGCCTTCAGTTGAAGGAAGACTCTTGATCATGTACTTGACTGTATTAGAGAACTCTATGGGGTGTGTGCTGGGACAACATGACGAGTCTGGGTGAAAAGAGCATGCAATATACTACCTGAGCAAAAAGTTTACCGACTGTGAAACCAAATATTCACCGCTCGAGAAAACTTGTTATGCTCTGGCATGGGCTGCTCGTCGGCTAAGACAATATATGTTGACTGACACCACTTTATTGATTTTTAAGATGGACCCTATCAAGTATATCTTCAAGAATCCAACTCTCTCCAGATGAATAGCTAGATGGAAAATGATTCTGACTGAATATGACATCCAATATACAACACAAAAAGGCCATCAAGGGAAGTATATTGGCAGATCATTTGGCCCATCAAGCTGTTGAGGATTTCCAGTCTATGAACTTTAAATTTCCGGACGAGAACATCATGCTAGTGACTGACTGCGAAAAGCTTGGGCCGTATGACGGACCTGAACAAGGATCCCGATGGACTATGATTTTTGATGGGGCTTCTAACTCCTTGGGAAATGGAATTGGTGCCGTGATTATTTCTCCTGAGGGTTTCCATACACCTTTCACCGCTAGATTGTGCTTCGACTGTAGAAACAACATGGCTGAGTACAAGGCGTGCATCTTGAGTCAAGAGGCTACCATTGACCTAAGGATCGAGTTCTTGGATGTATACAGATATTCTGATTTAGTGATTAGTCAAGTTAAAGGAGAATGGGATACCAAGCACCCTAATCTGATTCCTTACAAAGAGCTTGTGCTAACCCTGATCCCATACTTTAAGGAGGTCATTTTCGAACACTTCCCTAAAGAAGAAAATCAGTTAGCAGATGCCTTGGAAATAATTTCTTCTATGTTCAAGGTCAATTGGGACAATGAAGCTCCTAAGATTACAATCGAAATATTTGACAAACCTGCACACTGTTGTGAAATTGACACCAATGAAGAAAAGCTGTGGTACCATGAAGTAAGGAGATATCTTGAGGAACAAGAGTATCCTGAGGGAGCTTCCATCAATGATAAAAAATTCTTGCAAATATTTTCATCCAAATTCTTCCTAAGCAATGGAATCCTGTACAAGCGAAACCATGATTCTACTCTGGTCCGATGTATGGACAAGACGGAAGCAGAGAAGATCATGGAATACATGCATGATGGTATCTTTGGAAATCACTCTAGTGGACACACTATGGCCAAGAAGATTCTGAGGGCTGGTTACTATTGGTCCATAATGGAAACGGATTGTCACCAGCACTCAAGGACTTGCCACAAGTTCCAAATCTATGCCGACAAAGTTCATGTACCTCCAATTCCTTTGAATGTCATGACTGATCCTTGGCCATTTGCAATGTGGGGCATTGACATGATTGGAGAGATCAAACCTACTGTTTCCAATAGACACCGTTTCATCCTTGTTGCTACTGATTACTTCACCAAATGGGTCGAATCTGCCTCATTTTCCTCAGTGACAAAGAACGTTGTAGCCAGGTTTATCAAACATAACATCATCTGTCGTTACGGTATCCCCGAAAGGATCATCACTGACAACAGAACCAATTTCAATAATACTGTGATTGTGAAACTCTGTATGCAGTTCAAGATCAAGCATCACATTTATTCTCCACATGACCTAAGATGAATGGCACAGTGGAAGCCACCAATAAAAACATCAAGAAGATTGTGCAAAATATGGTGGTGACCTAAAAAGATTGGCATGAGATGTTACCATTTACTCTTCATGGCTACCATGTTGATGTTCAGATCCCTTCCCTAAGTATCATGAAAGAAGCAGACTTAGGCAAAGACGAATGGATTCATACTAGGTTGGATCAATTGATTTGATTAATGAGAAGCGACTGGATGCTGTTTGTGATAGTCAAATGTATCAAAAGCGTATGATCAAGGCTTTCAACAAAAA